CGTTCTATTAGAATAGATGTCACCTACCATAGTCTGACGATCCGGTAACGGTGATTGGCCAGCTGAATGTAATGACAGGCGATCTTTGACTGTTGCACTTCCGGATCTATCCTTGATTTAGGATATTTCTATACAGGGTTTCTCCAGGACAACAGCCCACACCCCTCAAACTTGCCTTTACTCAGGATTCAACCAAAGAGACTCTCCACACAACGGAGCCGTCTCTCTGCGAACAAAACATTCAACTCGAGTCGCAGTCAATCGAAGGGACTCAGTTTGGATACAAGTGGTTATGGTCTTGGGGACATGATCACTTGCGAGAGCCCTACTGAAGCCACTTCTCCGGCCTTCGAGTCCGTGCGGAATGAACTATTGTAACCCCTATTGTTCAGCTATCCTGAGGTCTATTTACTGATAGACCACATGAAAAGATCGAAATTTGTCAAGGGTGGTCGAACGAGAACGCAACATGAAACCAACAATAACAGGCGCAGCCTTCCTTGTGTGGTAGGTATAGAACTACTGCCTAGATACAAGTCCTGACTCCATCGATAGATAGCTCTCTCTGCTTGTATGGATGGTTGCGGTGCGTTTGAGCTGGATAATGATGAAGGCGGCGCTTTAACTACGGTAATACAGAAATTTTTCATAAAATATAATTGATACTGATATCAAGTTTTCAGAAGCTCATTGAATGCATTTACCGTCATCCCCACGGGCTCACATATGAAAAGTTGATCCTCGAGCTTAGGTAAGTTGAATTTGCTCCTGACTCGTACTCAAGCTAAATCATGGACAGGCGAATATTCGCTAAACTGTTCGAAAAAAGGAAAAAATGGATACCTGATGCGGGTGAAGAGGCGCCATACCCGGTCCTTTCTTGTAATTACGATATGGTGAGCAGTATTAATCGATTATACTATATTTAACTCATCAAGATTTATAGAATGTCGACGACTTGGTTACCTTTTGATCGATACTTATACTTTATTATATCGAGGGAATGGCCTCGATGAGCATCCATAGAGCACTCAATACTTCACCTACCACTACAACCCCTCATATTATACCTACATAACCCCATTTTATTAGCTATATATATCTACACTTATGATAGACGGAGGTGCTAATTATAAAGCTTTAGTACAGCTCCACACATGATTGTAGTTCCTTCTAGCGCCCTCTTTATCGGCGCATACTGGAGAATATAATCCTGTATCAGTCTGATTTACCTGTTCGTTTCGGTTTCTATTGTCATTTGAGTTGAACTGGTTCGTGTTTGCTTCTTACGGATGTAGACTCAATAGATTTGCGTCGGCCTAACTGGTTCACGCTGACTTCCTCACGGTCACTGTCCGATTGTATGGGATCAATGGCTGTTATCGCCTATAAAACTCCCCAGGAACTCGCCCATCAACCTTTACACTCGACTATCTTTTCGAGTTCCCATGCACAAGGATGCTTGGACTAGTCACCGATGTGCCTCATAAACTCAAGAAATTTGTGAAACAAATA